AAAATTCTTGCTGTGAAATATATATATACTAATTAAATTTAGCTTTGATGAACAATTAGAACAAGTTTACTAGTTAATTTTTGTAAAACTTTTGTAAAACTTTAGAGGCACATCATAGATTAGTTGATAATACAAATCAAGTCAAGAAAATTCTTGCTTGATAGAACAAAGTTTTAGTTAATTTTTATGAAACTTTAGGGGCGCATCACGAATTAGTTAATAATACAAATAAAGAAAATTCTTGCTTAATAGAATAAAGTTTTCTAGTTAATTTTTGTAAAACTTTAGAGGTGTTTTACGGATCAGTTAATAATTCAAATTAAGAAAAATTCTTGCTATGAAACATAGTACTAATTAAATTTAGCTTTGATAAGCAATTAGGACAAACTTTTGTAAAACTTTAAAACATATGTACTAATTAAATTTGTCTAATTTATGTTAAACTAGTATTATTATAAAGAATTTACTTTTAAAATCTCTATTATTATACAATACAGTACTAGTTTCATATAAATTATGGATGCCCTCTTACTAGTTAATTTTTGCATATTTTAGAGGTATTTCGTGAATTAGTTGATAATTCAAATCAATAAAAATTCTTGCTTTATAGAATATAACAACTAACTAGTAAACCTATTAAAATAATAATTATTAGTACATGAGGTCTTTGTCTTGAAAATAACTTGAGATATAGTAAGTCATATAATTAACCAAATACTCTAAAAAACTTTAAGCTTGTTATTGTATTAATTAAATCTATTTTTGACTAGATCTTTTTAGCATATAAAACCCAATTCTGCTTTGTAAATTAAAAATGTTTACCAAAATGATAGTAGTACATTTACAAACTAGAGATTGTATCTGTTTTAGAAATAATTTGTTATTAAAGTTTTTATTATATCTTTTCTTTTCTTACATACATAATAATATAAAATTTTTAATTCTTAATTCATATAATTAAATTTAAATATTAACATAATTAAAGCTTTAAATTCTAATTAAAATTCTAATCATATAAGTATTAAATTGAAGTTTATTTTAAACTCAAACGAATGAAGAAGTATGCTTTAACTGTTAAATGAACTAGAAAGAAATGTAAAAAATAAAATCAATTTATCAGAATAAAGGTCAGTACCTTGTTTCGAATTATAAGATACTTACCTTTCATTATACTTTCTTCTTATATTTTTCTATTATTAAATTAACCAAAGACTCAAATTCATTTTGATTAACTTCTTGAAGATAATTAAACGTAATATTCAAATCCCTTATTTCTTCAAGAAAAACTTCAAGATCAATATCTTTCTTCTTTTCTATTACTAACACAACCAAATCATAAACCTTCTTCCAATATGATATTTCCATATTCATTCTATTAGGAATAGATTGTTTAATCAATTTGTTTATTTCCTTATTTTTATCATTGTCAAACTGAAAACTTCTTTCATTGATATAATTATATATTATTTTAAACTGAATAAATTTACTATAAACTTCTGCTCAGTCTGTGTTGACTTTTTGTTGTTTTTTTGTAACTTGAATATTTGATTTAAATCTTTCTA